GTAAACCCTAAACCCTAAATCCTGGGAACAGGGTAATCCCGCTTTAAGGGTAGAGGGGTTTAGGGCTTAGGGTTTACCTAAACCCTATAATCCTAGGGTTAGGCGCTGCTTGGGAACACGATTACCCAGGGCTGAGGAAGCATCGCCTGCAGCACCTCCCCCCGTAACCTGCAAAGACGCACACACCTCAAACACGAAATCCCAACAGCAATTTCAAAACCCGAGAAACCTGTTAGGCTGTAAAACCGAAGCCCCACAACTCCCCCGTCCCCCAGCACCCAAAAACGAGCACTCTAGGAGTGCGAGCGACGTCATCTCGACGCCTCAGAGCAGCAGCGAGGCGAAGCAGCCACAAAGCCGAAAGCTCTGGTTGGTTGTTGGCTTCCTTTCCGGGTTCTCAGGGTTCCCTTAAGGTTACTACAAGGGCTTAGGGTTTAGGGCTTAGGGTTGGGAGTACCATACTTGAATAATTTTCTTTATTGGACCTGTTCCTTAAAGGAACCATTATAAAATAGAAGGCTATACTTTCTGCCCCCTGGTTACTTCAAAGTCCAGTAGGGTTCCCTTAAGGTTGCTACAAGGGCTTTCGATAAGGGTTCTACGATGAGGACTTCAATCCTGAGCCTCCAACCTAAGAAAACGAACTTTGAATGCCAAGGCCGAAAAACACAAACGGCCCTCAAATCCGAAGTTAGCACCCCAAACCCTAAATTTTAAATCCTAAACCGCAAAACCCAACCTTCCCCTGTAGCGCTGACACCAAAAAAGCATAAACACCACTGCTCACATGCTTGGAATCCCCACAACCAGCCCAAAAACACAAGCAAAAAATAGCTGATCTCAACAACCTCAACGCTCTAAAGGAACACCCTAAACAAAAAAGACAAAAACTAAACAATTCTAAACCACAAGCGTACTCTTGCAGAACCCTTTAAAGAACCCTTGCCCGGATACTGAACCCTTCAAACACTAAGCTCCTACTCCCTAAACTCCTAAACCCCGTGACTTTGGAATTGGGGCTTCAGGCCTTCGCATTCGAGTTCTAGGGCTCAGGCCCTAAAAGCCCTCAGGGTTTAGGGTTTAGGGTTTAGGGTGCATTGTTTAGGGTTTAGGGCTTAGGATTTAGGGTTCTGGGTTTAGGGGTTTAGAGCTTAGGGTTCAAACCCTGTAGCCTACACTGTTCCAGGCGTCCCTGTTCTGGCTCACTGTTCCCCAACAGTAGCAGTCCCGAAAAAGAGGAAACTTAAAACGCAACCCTTAATATAGATCCAATATACACACCTACTACTGTAGCAACATCTGAGCTAAACTCTCAACCCTAAACCCTATCATATCAGATGCTGCGGTTGGAGACTTGGGGCTTTGCAAGGCCTTTCTACACCCTAAGCCCTAAACCTGAAGCCCTGAACTGTTGGCCCCTAGATGAACTGAAGTACCCGGTTTAGGGTTTAGGGTCCACGTGCCGCCATGTGAGATTCCCCCCTCAGAACGCTCAAAACACTCAGCCCGACCTCCTAAACTCCGCACCCTATGGTTGATGATATAAGGAATGGACCATAATTTTTATAGTTTAGGGTCCTGAAGGTACCATTACCCACAATAAGGAATATACCATCATTCCCATAGTTTAGGGTCCTTATAAGGTAACGCAGGGTTTTTATCATCATCCGTATCAGGACCCCCCCTCCAAGTGCGCTATACTAGAGCCCCGGTGGTCCTTCAGCGTGGGTATTTAGGGTATGTTGGGGCGTAGTTGCAGGTCTAGGTGAGCCCTTAGCCCTAACCCTTAGCCCTGAAATCGCAGAACCCAAGCTAAGCCGTAAACCCTAAAGCCTAAACCCTAAAACCTAATCCCTGGACCCTGAAACCCTGAAGCCCTGAAGCCCTGAAACCCTAAACCCTAAACCCTATAGACCCTGAAACCCTGAAACCCTAAAATCTAAACCCTAAACCCCGAAACCCTGAAACCCTGAAACCCTGAACCCTAGACCCTAAACCCTGAAACCCTAAACCCTAAACCCTAAACCCACTACACTTTCAACAAAAAACCCTGAACCCTGAAACCCTGATTCCTATAGACCCGAAACCCTAAACCCTAAACCCTATAGACCCTAGACCCTGAAACCCTAAACCCTAAACCCTATAGACCCTAGACCCTGAAACCCTAAACCCTAAACCCTAAGCCCACTACACTTTAAAAAAAAAAACCTAAACCCTAAACCCTATAGACCCTAGACCCTGAAACCCTAAACCCTATAGACCCTAGACCCTGAAACCCTAAACCCTAAACCCACTATACTTTAAAAAAACCCTGAAACCCTAAACCCTAAGCCTTTAAACCAGTAGGTCAGTGGCCGGTCCTCTCGGAACCTCGGCTGTTGCTTTTGAGGGCTTCCCTTTAAGGGTCCTCTTTCGGCTCCTTTAAGAGTGATTTAAGGGTTTTTTTTGTTGTTTATAAGGATTCTCTACAATAAGGGCTCCTTAAGAATTATTTAGGGGCCCCTTTTGAAGGCTCCTCTAAAGGGCTTCCTTATAAGTTTTATAAGGGTTCTCTACAACAAGGGCTCCTTTAAGGGCTTATGTCCGGGTTTCCTTTACGGTTCCGTTTTCTCGAAGATACAGGCGCCTTTTACGGGGTTCCTTTACGGCTTCGTTGAGGGCGTTCTTACCCAGAGACTCCAATATCCCTTAATTAAGGAATATACCTTAAATCCTTTTAGGGTTCCTATTATAATTTAAGGTATATTCCCTAATTAAGGGGATATTGGAGTCTCTGGGTAGGGTTCCTGCGAGGAGCCTCTCGGGCTTTGGAGGGTGACCTTCGTTCCTTGAAGGCCTACTTCTCCCAATGATGAGGTTCAGAAGGGGTAACCCCTAAACCCCTAAACCCCTAAATCCCTAAATCCCTAAGCCCCTAAACCTAAAACCCTAAACCTAAAACCCTAAACCCCTACACCCCTAAACCCTAAACCCTAAACCTTAAGTGTAGGGCGCATGGCTGGCCCTAGACCCTAAACCCTAAACTCTGAAGGCCCCGGATGCAAGCTTGCAAAACCCCTGCAGACCAGCATCCTTCCTCATCTTGGGCTCCTTCGTCTCGAAAATAACCCCCCAAAAAAAATCATAAACCTGAAATCCTGAACCCTAAAGCACATGAATTCTCACTGGTTCTTGCCGGCTTGGGTTCCCTAATCTGCGAGGCCCCGGTGACTGAGATACTGTTGATCCTAAACGATGGGAATTATGGTATATTCCTTCTTATGGGTCATGCAGGATTTATATCATCAACCGTACATTGCCAGAAGCCTCACCCCTTATTAAAGAGCCACCCTAAGCCCCTAAACCTTAAAACCACCAAAACCCACTGCTTTTGTTATATGTTCTTGCTAAAATAATCACGAATATGGAATTTATCGGGACCCTACAAAAAGCAGGTTTTGGTAGGTTAAGGTAAACCTTAATCTCTCCTCGCACTCACTTTGGGATCCACGCCTACCTTAACCTGCCAGGCTCTACGGAAAGCCGGTGGCTTCGAGTTTTCATAACACAAGAACCATGACTAAATAGAGCGTAAGTTCCGGAGGGGGCCCTCCTAAACCCTTAAACCCCCAAACCCTAAACTTTCTGGTTCGTAGTGAATGGGGGGGATGGATCCCTATGATAGTCCCTTAAGGTCCCTTCTAGTAGTCCCCAATAACCCATTCCTCCATTCCCTACTAAGACCCAGCCAGTAAACCCTAAACCCTAAACTCCTAAACCCCTAAACCCCTAAAACCCCTAAACCCTAAACCCTAAACTCCTAAACCCTAAACCCCAAAACCCCAATGGTGAGGACAACCATCTGATCCTCTGCGCCGGACCCGAACGCTCTGGCAGTACCTGGCCACTGGGCTAGGGTTTTTTTAAACCCTAAACCCTAAACCCTTAAAACAAGCAAAACCTAAACCCTAAACCCTAAAAGCCCTTTGGGGAGCCTTCGAATTCCGAGGCTTTACAATGCCATTCGGCTTCTTTACTTGGAGGCGAGGGTGCCCCGGCCTTGCAGGGGAGCTGTAGCTCGATGTTCCCAAGAGAGAGAGAGTTTGGGTTTAGGGGTTGGGGTTTGGGGTTTAGGGTTGAGGGTTTAGGGTTTTAGGGTTTTGGGTTGAGGGTTTTGGGTTTAGGGCTGAGGGTGGAGGGTTTAGGGTTGAGGGTTTAGGGTTTGGGGTTTAGGGTTGAGGTGAGGGTGGAGGGTTTAGGGTTTGGGGGTTTAGAAGGGTCTTGATCCTACTTCTCGCCGTAAACTCTCTTCTCGAAGCCCAAGACTTTACAACCCTTAGATGAGTAGTTCTCTAAATTAGGGTCGAGTTCGTAAAGTCTGTTTATAAGGGTACCGTGCTATATTGGGGACTTAAAAAGGGACCCTAATTTAGAGAACTACCCAGATGAGTGAGGTAGTTGAGCAAGTACAAGCTGGTATATTCAAGGCAGAGAACTACACGAGACCTGCGATAGTACCGTCGAGGGCAGTATGATGACGGCATTGCAGCATAACTTAACCACTCCACGCACGGCAACATGGCAGTGTCCGCATGTAGAACTGTAGAGCACAGCATAAGACGCTGTGACTGTTAAGCTTGAAAACTGTGTAATTAGGATCGTATTCAACTCTAGACCCTAAGTTGAGGCCCTAAACCCTAAACCGTCATACAACGTGGACGAGGAGAGTGCTGCAAAAGGTGCCTCAGAAGAAGAGTACATCACAAGCCTAAACTTCTTAGCGGAGATCTTTCTCAATGTAGGGTCGGATTTCTAAGATATATGGTCCATGAATTAAAGCACAAAATCTAAATGAAACGTCATAATCATCAGATCATTGTAGAATTTACCGCAAAAACGCATCCTAACATCGTAAAAGCGCATGCATGTCCTCCCGGCCTCGAATAAACCCTAAACCCTACACTCTAAACTCTAAACCCTAAACCCCAAACCCTAAACCCTAAACCCTAAGTTGCCCATTCGGGGCTCACTGCTTAAGGACTGCTTAGGCGGAAAAGGGCCCTCAAAAAAAAAACCCTAAGTTACCTTCGAGACCTTCAAGCGAACCTCTAACCCGAAGCCTGCTTTCGAAAGCCATCAACCTTAGAACAGTCTAGGCTTTGGGGGTTTTGGGATTTTAGGGCTTCAGGGTTTTAGGGTTTAGGGCTTTAGGGTTTTAGGGTTTAGGGTTTGGGGTTTTAGAGCTTTAGGGCTTTAGGGTTTAGGGTTACTCTTCCATCCTTCGGATACTGAGGTGCCCTGCGACTCCTATTGGATGGCCAGGTTATCTCGCGCTGCGGGTCCGAATGGCGGCTTCGGTTTCGCTGTTGTTCGGGGCTTTGGGTTTCGGTGTCTGGGGTTTAGGGTTTAGGGTGGTGTCTATTACGCTCTAGGGTCAAAGCTCGGGCCAAGGTTAAGGATGTGCGGGCTCCTTTGGCAACAAGTATGGGCCCAGGCTTCTAATTTACGCTTGAGGGCCGTCTTGGGTAACAGGTGCCGGAATCGGAATGATGAGCGCGATATCGCTTGAAGGTTTAAGAATTCGACTGCCGGGCAACATCATCACCCCGATACCGCCTGAAAGCCTCGATTTATCTCGTGAGCTTCGTGTCCTCATGCTTGACCCCTGGGGAGAATTCTGCCCTGCAGCCAGCATCATCAGCATCAGTTGGACCTCCGTCTCTCTTTCTCGCAGCTTCCGAAAGCCCCAAAAGTCCAGACGTCTTTCCAACCACAAGTGAGAGCTGCAACGCCAACGTGAGTTCCGGCCCTCAACCTTCAACCCTAAACTCCTAAACCTTAAAATTACTCCTTCATGAATCGTTTTTGGAGATTCTGGGTACCCCGCACAAAAGACGGAGTTCGATTAGACCCTTGACTTTAATTGAAACCGCAACACTGGAGCAAGTACCCTAAACCCTAAATGTTTTTTTTGGCCGAAGGCTAGGGCTGCAGAGGCTTAAGGGTTCCTATCAGGCTGGCTTGTGCTAGCTGCACAGGCCGCGAGGACCCCACAACCCAACCCCAATCCATCTTAGGTGTGGTTTGCAATGAAATGTGGTCGAGTTATGTAGAATTGCGAGCAAGACAGCCTGAGTTGAGAGGGGTGTTGCGGGGTGAACCCTAAACCCTAATTGAGAATAGCTCGGGTGGTTGGGGCGGGACTGCATGCTGACGCAAGCACACGTTAAGTGGGCGTGCCCCAATTCCGAAAGCACCCTATACCAACCCTAAACCCTAAACCCTAACCCTAAACCCTAAACCCGTAAACCCCTAAACCCCAAAGCCCCAAGCCCTAAAGCTAGCAATATTACCCGAAGCCGAGGAGAAGTTAGAGCAGCGACTGGCTGCTCGACCTCCGGCGATGGTACTGGTGAAGACGCATGCCGCCCGGTGAGGGTTTAGGGGTTTGGGTTTAGGGTTTAGGGTTCAGGGCTTTAGGGTTTAGGGGTTTAGGCTTCAGGGTGGGTTGTGGGGATTTCGGGTTTAGAGTCTTCGGGTTTGATTTAGGGTTCAGTATGCAGGGTTTGCAGGAGGGTGTAGGGAGTTAGGGCTTAGGGATTAGAGGCTTTAGGTTTTTTTTTGGTCAGGGTTCAGGAGTTTGGGTTTAGGCCTCAGGCTTCAGGGTCCAGGGTCTTGGTTTAGGGTGCGCTTATGAGGTCTGCGCTGGATTCTATAATTTGTCAGGATTTATGGCATGTGGGTACCAATATACTGCCGCACCCTTGTAAAAAGGACCCTAAATGGGACCCTAATTTAGAGAACTACCCATGTGTTGCGCAGGGAACCAGCGGAGAAGGCTTGGTTTCTGCGTGCCGTTGCTGACGGCCAAAGCCTGCATTGCCTTGAAGAATCTCCTACTTGTGGGAGTTAAGGGTATCGTCATGATATTCCTGATTCTGAGATTCTGGCTACAAAGGAGTATTCTCTAAGCCTAAACCAGTTTTGTCCATCAACCTTCCTAAATACGTAGCTGGTTCATGCCGTAAGGCCGTAAGGGAGCGGGATCAGGAGTGGCAGCCTGGCTACAACGAGTTCGTTCACCTGGCGAAGTACGTGGTGCTGACGCAGCCCTGACAGAACCGTTATGTTTCTTTGACTGGGTGTGTTTGAAGGTTTCACCATGGTTTAACCGGGCTTGAGATGGCGTCTTTCTCTCTCTCTCTCTCTCTCTCTCCGTTTCTCTCGCCCATTCCCGCCTTCAACCCTACACCCTTAAACCCTAACCCCTAAACTCAAAACCCTAACCTCCAAACCCCCAAAACCCCCAAA